GGTAACCTTAATATGTGCTTTAATCTCGTTTTTAATAGCTTCGCGCCATTCCTCGTCAGTGACTCTTGGATTTTCGGATTTACACAATAAGAAGAACATATTCTTCATTTCTTAATTGATTCACTGGATCTTGAAAATCATTGGAAGTATCAGATTGCGCATCAAGGTCGTAATCTTTTAAATAATTTGGTACTCTTCTTTGTCTCTGAGGTCTAGTGTTACCTTGTGAACTCCTCCTATCCTGGTCTATATCTCTATCCTTTTTGTAGTATTCACAGAAAGTTTGCTTTAATGTAACCCTTAACTATTATTCAATTCCAAGGTTTACCTTAGATATAATTAAAAAAGTTTGGATACATATTTATAAATAGGCGGGTCTTAATTCACGGGTGTAAGTATCAAAGGATGGTAAAACTTCGGCCACTAATTCTTTTCTTGCTTGCTTCTGCTACGTTTGATGCATCATCATCAGAGTAGTTTACTAATCCAACTTACGGCTAGATACACTGAAAAATACTTGTGTTATGTGTATTCGGCATTAAACAAAAGTTAAATAAAATAAAATGTGATTTAAATGTAAATTCATTTTTTTTTATTGCAACATTGAAACTTGTGACATAAATTCTGAATTTGGCAACATTAATTCTTAAGATGTCAATATCTGCGAATTTTTTGCAAAGTCGTGTTTGGAGTTTTGGTGCATTGGTGAAAAAAGTTCCTTCCAGATATATTTTTACTATTAAAATGTCTGAAAAGCCGGCAGATTACGTTGCTACCAATGGTTTTGAAAGCAAAACTCCATTCTTAATCGGTGTAGCGGGAGGGACAGCAAGTGGAAAGGTTAGTCTATCACTTCAGTGTTTTATTGATTTTTCCTGATTTCAAGATTTGCTTATGTAACTGAAACAAAAAATGCATAGTAAACATTCAATCATGTTTTACACAATTTTGAAAAATTTTTCCGTGGCTAGAAACGTGCGTATAACCTCAAGGTTTGTTTGGTTCATTGTTCAAATAATAGTTGATAAATATTCGGATTAAAACGGATGTTATTGTTATTTAAGGTATTGAATTGACTGATTTAACCAAGTACTATGTCAAGATTCCTTAATAGAATTGCTATACTTTGTGCCTATGTTTTTAAACATTTGCAATACTTATTATCCAAGAAGGTTAAGTTTCAATTCGGTAGTAAATGTTTATTTCAGTCAACAGTATGTCAGCGCATAATGGAAAAACTTGGACAGCAGCACAAAGAACAAACAGAGAGACGAGTTGTCTGTATCAGTCAGGATTCCTTTTACCGAACCCTCTCACCCTCGGAGCGGCTACGAGCTGAGCGAGGACAGTTTAACTTCGACCATCCTGATGCTTTTGATGATAAGAAACTTCTTGCTATCCTCAAAGATATCCTGGCTGGAAAGAAAGTTGAAGTACCTGAATATGATTATATCACAAATTCTATTAGGTAAGTTGAAGTTCAATTATTTCAGAATATGTTATATTTGTCTATGATTTAAGTCTACATTGACCTTGTAAATTTGATGTTGTATGACTTTCTTTAAATTCTAACTATAGATACCTGAAGCTATCTTTTAGTGTAAAAATTCTTAGAAAAAGTGACTCTTGTATAATAATTTAATTATAGTCACATTGTATTTTAAAGTAACTTATTTCCTTATTATTCTAATTTTATTTTATTATTATTTGTGATTAGACTTCTTGGTTCTAACTCTCCAATGGTAAATTATTTACCACTTTATATACTACGAGCTGTTCCCATGTGGCTTAATCTGCATGAAATTATGAAAATTTTATTTTGTTGTTTACATTTGACAAATTATCAATTGCAAATGTCAAAATGACATAACACAATGACTACCATGGCATCCTTGCTTCCTTGTTGTTAGCAGCTTCTAGTTTAGGGTCCCTTTCCTTTTTAAATTTTTTTAAGTTTACTAGCTTGAAAATATATAGCCTTTAAGCGTGTCGTAAGTGGTTTTTTATTAAAGAAATAAATATTCAATGATGTACTGTGGTTGCTGACATCCTACGCCACACAAAGTGTGTTTTTATGCTTTATTATATTAGTATTGATTTACCTTTACAATTATGTTCTTGTTGATGAAATATAAAACATGTTTCCATAGCCCTCACCGCTCGCACACAATCTACCCAGCAGATGTGGTGCTGATCGAAGGCATACTTGTATTCTATTTCCCGGAGGTGCGAGAACTCTTCCACATGAAGCTGTTTGTTGACACAGATTCTGACACACGGCTTGCAAGACGAGGTGAGTAACAGAAGTTTCTAGAAGAAACCTAGAAGTTTGTTTAAACTCGTTATTTTTAAGTTAAATCAAGTTACAGATTGACCACAAACTTATATCGAGTTTACAACTTATTCAATCATTCCAATAAATATTATTTACTTCTATACTATTTATGTATTTGCTTTAGGCTGTGATTTTGTCCTTGTGATATTGAAATAAACTTAGTGAGTTGCCTATGTGTTCTTCCAGATTATTTTCAACATGTATGCTTAATTTACTTATTTATTAAGCCATTAGATAAAAAGTAAACTTCCATTCATGTAAACTTTGTTTATTATATTAGTATATAGTCATAATTCCATTTGGTAATAATAATTTCACCATTAGGGAACTGACAAACTAGACTAAGAGCCTGTCCTACCATATTTTTAAGCTATCTAGGCCTATCAGCCAGTGGTGGGACAGGCCCTAAGTCATGTTCTTCACTTTTAACCCTAATTTTGTAGCATCTGGTGAGATAACAAATTTAAAGTAATGTACTGAATTAGATTATCGACATGTGATATGTTTTTGTTTAGAACTCTGTCTAATTAAGGACTTCGACTTTTAATTCACGCCTCCTATATCTGTTTTTATTAAGAAAGAAACTTTTCTGAAGAACAATTCCCTCACATCAATTCTAAAAGTCTTTGTTTTTGCCAAGACAATGAGCAATAACATTTTTTTTAATTATAAGGTGGCAAACGAGCAAGCGGCCACTTGAAACCGCCAAAATGGTGTAGCGACCGCTACCCATAGACATCCGCAATTGCAGATGCGTTGCCTACCCTCAATCGATGGTTGAAGGAGACACAAATAAAGAAGATATTTCCTCTTCCTATGCGTCTCCACCGTCAAATCCACTTTTCCTTCCCATTCGTCCCTCTTAAGAAAAGGATGGAAAGGAAAGGGGTCAAAAATTAGGCCTCCGGCACCACACTCATCAGACGAAACGCGGAATTGCTCTCACTTCACGCCTGTTTTCTGTGTGGTTGTGGTATTACATCGGGCGAGCCAGCCCATTCGTGCGAAGATGTTAGAGCGGGCTCTACCTGTTACTTTGTTATTTGTGTAGTAGATTGCGTTGCATATTAAATACCAATGTTTCAGTACCTCGTGACATAATGGAGCGCGGCCGCGACTTGGAGCAAGTTCTCAATCAATATATGAACTTTGTGAAGCCAGCATTCGAGGAGTTCTGCTTACCGGTGAGATTCATTTATAATTTCAGTTTTTATATTCAGAATAAAAATAAAAAAGAATTAAACTGTTCAATTATGTGAAATTTAATATTTTAAATTCTAATTGATAATGTTGCCATTCTTTTTTGTCAATGTTGTCATGTCAAATAGAATTAATAGGTGACATGTAAACATAAATCTTTTTTTGTTCTTTCCAGACAAAGAAGTTTGCTGACGTCATCATACCGAGAGGTGCAGATAATTTAGGTAAGTTATAATTGCATTTAATAATATAGTTTTTTTAATCCACAAAATATATTTAGAACTTTTTAAAAATACTAATCGAATTCAATACAAATTATATATCCTAGTCTAGTTACAATATTTTTATCTATTCATTTTATTTAGGAATGTTTTAGTATTCAAATTTATTATTTTTATTAAGTAATTACAGTTTTCTAAAGGTATAATTAAGTTTGTTTTAAGTTAATTATCATTTCTCATTCCCTTCAAATTTGACTATAATTCCCTTATAATGGAAACACAAAGTCTTTGACAATAATATCCAAGTTTGCAATATTTTACATCACGTTTACTTCATGTGTGTTACATGCGTATTTATTTATTACTAGCTGTTCCCGTGCGGATCCATCCGCATGAAATTATAGTTACTTCATTTTATTGTTTACAAAATACCTGTCAAAATACCAATTATGTCACTATGGCAATTTTGCTTCCTTGATGTTGGCAGCAACTTATGGTCTCTTTCCCGTATTAGGGTTTTTATCCAAAATATTTACCCCTTAAGTTTAATGGCGTAAAAATATATAGTCTAAAGCGTGTTGTAAATGTAGGGCTTTTTACTAAAAAGGATTATTCAAAAATATGCTGTGATTGCTGACATCTTAGGCAACAAAGAAGTGTGTGTTTACGCTTTTTTATAATAGTATAGATGTGTTTTTTTAATTTTTAAAGTGTTCAATTTGCGGAAATTAAATAAAATCGATCATTACTCATTACGAAAACTACCAAATCGTCCGTTTAAAAAAAAAGACATAATAAGCACTAAAGGTCATAGCCACTGCAATTAGCCAAAATCACAACTTCAAACTTACCTCTTCTAAAACTTGTTGCAGCGGCTATGTTCTTATGTAGCTGCTAATTAGAACTTTATTACGAATACGGTAAAGTCCAATTTCTCGTTGTTGCAGTGGCTATTGACTTAATTGTACACCATATATGGGACATTATGTATAAGAAGAGGCCGGCGAAGGTCGCCAATGGGACATGCAATGGGACACATCTGGAAGTTGATGAGGGGAATGGACGGAGGATGTCAGGAAGTTCCGAGGATACTCTCAGCCGATAGCCAATGGCTAAATGCACACCGGAATGTTACATTTTGGATCTGTGACTGACGATCAGGATGTTTCCTTTATCTTATGTTCCATAGTTTCAGTGTTTTCCAAAACTTGTTAACTGTATTGTATAATAGGTAGACACATTTTTTTTTTTGGTTTAGCGTAACAAGTTTGAAAATTTAGATTAAATTTTTTTATATATCTGACAACTGGTTGGTGATGAAAAAGTATAAAAAAGATATTTGTTAATTTTTTTCAAACTGTATTCTGATTTTTTATTTGGTTTGTATTTATATGGGTCAAGTAACAAATTGTTTGGAAAACAGCATAAATTTATAGGCACAAGTGGCTTGCAATCGAATATTTTATTATTTTAATCGATGTTATTGTCGTATGTTACAATCAGTATTATTTATAATTCCTTTCGCATCGAAACTTATACAAAATCTGTCATTTGTTAAAAATTGACAGAAGTTCCCCCCAATTTAGTAAACAAGATTTTTAGTTTTAAGAATGTGTTAAAATAATCGCATTTGCCCCAATTTGATTACGCACATTTTTTTTTGCTTTCTGTACTACGTGTATATTTAAAAACACAATATTTACGCATTTTTTATTCCTAATTATATAAGTAAGAGGTTCTCTAAGGTATATGTGATTACTAACGTTTTACCAACTTATAGTTTTCATATAGGACAAAAAAAAATTGTAAAAAGTTGTAAAAAAAATTAAAAATAGTTATAAATGTAAAAACAAATTAGTAAAAATTGCCAATAAGCTACTGAAAATAGTATAGTGTAAAATATATTAAATACCGAAATTTGTAGTTATAGGATTTTTTTCGCTTTTGTGGTTAAAAATTATAAAATCCATGACCAAAAAATATAATTGAAAATAATTAAAACGCTTGCGTTTACAATTAAACGGTCCAACTTAAGTTTTTACCATCTGTATCTTCTTAATATAGATAAAAAATTATTTTGTTAAGTTTTTCATAAGTATTGCTTTTTTTAAATTAATTACACACGTCACAGATCCAATACATATACAACGCGACATCATATTTGTGTAAACTACTTTATTCGAAATATTCCTAATGTTTATTTTCGTTAAGTTGGCAATACAAAGAGGTATCTCTTTCGCACCTGAGTTGTTTATCTCGCTCTTTCCTAAGTGATGTTCGTACACAGAAGCTAGTTGAGACACAAATGTTTGTCGTGTATATTTTATCCCAGTTGCAATGCGCATGCGTAATGAAAAAACGCACACAAAATAAAAAATCAAAAATATTGAATGATAATATAAAAAATCCGTTAAAATGTGATACAGCCTTTCTTCGTCTCATAAAATTCGTTCAAAAAGTTTAAATTCTCGTAGGATTGGTAAAAAAAGTACATGTTCCTGAATTTGACAGATTAAATAAGTTTTATACTAGATAACCCTGCCATAGACAATGTTTTTATTTCTTGCGTATGCGCAAAAATTGTTCCACATTTATGTACTGTTTTTACGTATTATTTAGGTTAAGATATAAACTATATACATTATGTATAAGGCTGACGTTTTACAAAGTACATAGAGTAAGGAATAAGTTCATTTATTTGCTTCAATTCAAATATATCGCAAAATAGTCACCATTGAAAATTCACAAAATGTCAAAAAATATGTTTTTATTTAGCAAGACTAGAATTATCTAGTCTAGACGAAAAAGGTTTGCTTCTAATTGTATGTTATTTCTACTTTTATTCATATTTGTTAGTATAATAAAAAATATAACCAGATTTTGCGAAAAATGCTATAAACACTTGATGCATTTACACTTTTATTTTAATTTCAACATTTGAAGTGCACAATTTTGTGTTAGCATTTTGTAAATTTAGTTTTATTCCAGTAACAAAATATTAGTGTTCTTATATTTTATTGTGTTCAGGCAGAAGCCATGCCAAAAAAAACTAAAAAATGTGTATGTAATTTTTTTTATTTAATTTTGTACTCAAGTATTCCTGATATTTTGACAAAAATGATCAAATTGTAAAGTTAGCTATCTATTGACTGTAGCCTAAGCGTTTAATGTAAAAATGAAATATAGTATGAAAAAGTAATAAATTGACTTTAATTTACTACAAGGCATTTAAACAAAATAATGTTTTTTTTTTTTAATTATGACGTATTGAAATAATAACCTTTGTTTGCACATACGTCTCATTATGAAAAAAAAAAACATATAAAAAAGGCTAAAAAATAAATAGTAGATACTTCTAACATCCATCCACCCATTTAAACTTTCGCATTTATAGTATTTCCTAGTTCATAGTAGCATGTCTTAGTATTTGCTGTAAAATTCTAACTACATACACATTGTATGTAATCTATTTGCAAGCGGAGACCTACTTTTAGTCACTTTTCCTTTCTGTTTTTGTAAGAATAGAAAGGTAAAGTGGATTTGACGGTGAAGGAGACGCATAGGATGGGGAAATATTATCTTTTTCTGTCTCCTCTGTCGTTTGATTAAGGGTAGGCAATGCATTTGCAATTGCGGACGTCTGTTATATCGTTACACTTTTCTCGTTTGTCACATCGTATTAATAAAAAAAAAATTGTTTATGTTTTTCAGTGGCCATAGACTTGATCGTGCAGCACATATCGGACTACCTGCGCCGTAGTCCGGTGGAGAAGTTGCCCCCGCTCGGTATGTCCTCAGTGCCCGGCAGCCCGCAGCGCAGCGGGCAGAGCGGCCGGCCGCATTGAAGCCATGTAATTTAGTTGTCTAAGGTCTGTAGTGTTATGGCTAGTGATATAACATGTTAAAAGCATGCGATATTCAAACTGCTATGATCTTTAGGTGACCTTCATTATTTTTTTATAACTTTTTTAATATTACACATTTTTTTAGTCTGTACGTTCATGTCATATGAATTTTGGCGCCGATATTTTTAAATAGATTAGGTTAGTTGCGTTCAGAATTCTCACCAAAGAGTAGCAGTGTTATAAGAAATGTCACGCTAAATAATTATTCTGATATTTATTTTTTTATCCTTTAAAATGTAATGAACAAAATTATTTTGATTATTATTATATAAATAAAATATTCTCCTAATGTTTTAATACTTGTTAAACTTATAAGAAAATTATAGAGCCACCATAACTATAAGCATAGATCTTTGGTATTTTACTTCCTTTTAAAATTTACAACACTATAGTTAATTAATCGATTTTTTCTCACATTCTCTCTATTTAATACTATATTTATATGGTAACACTGAATTTTTAAATGTAGTAAATAGTCCAGAATTTGTCAAATATTCACAAAAATCTTTAAACAATAGAATCAGATGGTAATTGTTAGTTGCTTTTCTTGTTGAAGAGGTTATCTTTTTAGGTAATTAAATAGACATTTTCATATAAGATGTAAAAATGTTTATTGACACATTTATTGTACAATAGAACTATCGTAGATATATTAACTATAGATAGTTATTAAACGACTAATCTAGTTATGTTTTCTAAATTACTTTGTATTGTAACACAGTAAATTTTCCCTAACAAAATGGCTATGAAAATCTTTATTTTCGCTTTTGTATTCTATGAGAATTAAGTTAAGCTCCACAAATCTCAAGTAACTTAACATATCTGGACTTAGATTATCACTAGTCATTCGGTATAGCTATAGATTAATTGCAAGGATAGTTTATAAAAAAACTAACGCTCAAATTATTCAATCGGTACAAAATAATTTTACCGTATAAAGCGTCGGTGGCTCAGTGGTTTAAACACTTGACTTGTAATCTACAGGTCTTGGGTTCGAATCCCGCTGTACCAATGTGATTTTGGATTTTTTCTTATTTTCATATGTACTTAATTTACCCGACATTCTTACGGTGATGGAAAACTTCATGATAGCTGCACATATCAGCGAAGAAATTAAAAAATATGTGTGAAGTCAACCAACCCGTATTGGGCCAATGTGGACTATGGCCTAGTCACCCTTTAGGGTAGGCTCCGAGAACCTCGGTTGGGACGTAGTTGATGATGATGATGACAAATTATTTTATTTAACTCCAGTTTATTTCAAGAAATAAAATCCTCCCAAAATTTACTAAAGTACTTATAAAGTTCAGAAAGTTTGCAAAATTTTACTGAACTTTCCTAGTCAATTGTATTTAAAAAGAAATCTAATTTATTTTTAATTAATTGAATGTAGGAATGCCGTAGAAAATTAACAGTTTCTCTTAAAACAATATCAATTGCTTTTTGAATCTGTACTTTTCATTACCAACAATATAAAAAAAAACTTTTTGACAATTTAAATGCGCACAAATTATTTGTAGATTTTTATTTATAATATTAGCACTATAACGAAATCATGGGCATTTTTATTATGATAATTGTTAAATACAATTTGAACGAACTATTTATACAAAATTCTTCGTAAAAGTAGTTGAGCGTTGTAAAATAAATTCCAACATCAGGCCTAAAGTACATTAAAAACTCACAATTTGCACAAAATGATAATTTTTCTGATAAAACTATTGAAAAAACGATTTATTGTGACGTTTGTTTACACAGATCAAAGGTGGCCAACCTAAACCCATTCTTTTTTTGCCCAAGGGGAATGTATCTCCGCATACTCCGCGCCCAGGGGGGCGCCGTAGTTATGTGGGACTCTCACCCATAATGGAGGCATACCCACTAAACCCCTCGGTTCCTGCAACGCAGTAGGCAGGGCCACGGGCATGCTATAGCTTACCCCCGCGACCCCCGCCAACTTCACTTACAACACCTACAACTTTAAATCTTAGATAATACAACATAGCTTAGTGTACAATTATGTACCATTTATGTAGTTTGTTTTTTTTTTGCCTTCTAACGACTATACTAATAGCGACCGACAGGTTGGTCATCCCTTGTTAAGGTGTTAAATTTGAATAAACTCTACATTTTATGCAGATTTAGAGCCTGTCCCAACACTGGCTGATAGAGGCTCAGATAGCTTAAAAGTGACGTCACTGTTAGAGTACCAAATTCCGATATTTCCATCACATATTTTATACGTTTGATTGTTGTCAGACAATTTTACAAGAATTGTAGGACAAGCCCTTAGTTATAGTTAAATCATGAACGCTCGCTTTTTTTAAGAATAAAATGCTTTTATCTGACCTTTTCGCGATTTATATAATGATATATAATATAATGATAATGTTATTAATTATTTTGTTTAAAATATTGGATTGTCGTGAAAACAGCATACGAACCAAAGAAAAATATTGAATATTTATTACATAAGCGACATCGCATTTAGTTAATTGCGAATTATTTATTATTGAATAAAATTTATCTGTTGAAACATTATAATACAAACATCAAATGACGTTGTTGTTATGTTGATGAGGCTGTTTCTAAGTACGTTTGTTAATTCTTAAAAAGTAGAATATAATTATGACAATTTGTTTTAATTTTCATAAACTACAATGTTATGACATTAATGGCCGGTTTCCCAGCTACATTTAAACATTCGTTAGTGTATTTAGTTCGATAGTATCATGAAAGTTTTCGAGCTACGTAACTTGAGTTTTACTCTCATAAAACTCAACCTAACACTAATGAATAGTTAGGTAACGACAAAATAAAAACTTCAGAAACCCAGCATAAGGAAGGCGTGTTTAAATATATTTTTTAAATTATAGGTTACAAGGTTTTTAAGCACTTTAACTCTGTCAAAATATCTTTGTTTTAAAAAAACTTGTTATTATTCTGTTGTGTATAAGTAAATTGTTTTTACATTTTTTAGTTAAGCCTTTTGTATTTAGTTATTTTTGTACCGTAGAATTTTTTATATAATTGTGCTCGTTGCATAGTCAGTAGTTACTTATTTGTCCACGCCGATTATTGTACAAAATTATGAACACAATAAAGTTATTTTATTTTTAAACTGTTTTATTTTTCATCCTTTAAAACGTTACTAGTTTGGAAAAAGTAATATAAAATGTTTGTGTTTCTTTAAATACTACGTGAGTTACAATCTGACAGACGTTACAATATTAATGTAATTTGCAGTTTAAGAACCTGTCCCAATTGATAGATGCTCAGAAAGTTTAAAAAATGACGTCACTGTCAGATAAGGGAACAAAATGCGATATTTCCATCACATTTTTATACGTTGGATTCTTATCAGACAATTTACAACTTGGTGGGACATGCCCTAAGCATGGCATCATATAAGATGCTATAAATTGAAATGTTTCAATATTCTGCCGTTGAAATAAAAAAAACAACATTAAAATTTGATCCGCCTTTATTACATGACACAAAAATAATTATCGCAATAATTACAAATTACAATTCAATCGTGTCTTCAATAATTTCATTTTAAATATACGACTTTGCGTTTGCACGTGTCGCGGCGTGCGGACTAGAGGGCGCTGCGGCGGCGGCGCTCGCGCACATACGTAAGAAATATGAATAAATAAAGTAATTTACTATTAAAAACAAATTAATAACTACAATTTACTAAATTAAGTAAATCAGTAATATTTTTTTAATATTTCATAAAGAATGCTAAACAATTAAAAAACAAATTATTTTCATTACGTACCTAATTCTATAAATAAATGGAGAGAAAATTAGAAATTTAAAATTCGCGCAACAATAATCACTAAATATATTTAATTTTCATACAAAACTGGACGATTACAATTTTTATTTATGTATAAAACAGGAACAATACTTAAGGCAGAATCTACGTTTGTTCTGTTTTGCTAATTTTCCCTCCATTTATTATTAGAATGTGGGTATAACAAAAAATTCAATACGAAACACGTGAAACATGTCATCTCTGTTTAATCCAAAGTGAGAGAGTGAGACAACTATAGTTTTGTTTGTGTTTGCAGTAGTTTAGTATGAGCGCGTCGCCGCCGACCCAGAGTTAGGCTCGCGGTGCTAACAAACGTATTCTACAGCCGTTATATTGTCAACATAATTGCTTTTATTATCGTTTCAATATAACTTTTATTTCAAATCTACTAACTATTGCGTAAAACTTTTATTTCTGTTAGATTTAAATTTCGCAATAAAAAAAACGATTTCATAAAATAATCTATACAAAATATTACAAAATGATAAAAACTTATTTAACCTGTTACATGTGACATTGAGTTTTATGACTTAACGAAACTAAAAATATTTACAAAACAGCACCTTTGAAGACATTTTTTGCGTTTTACGATCATCAAAGATTAAAATAAAAACGCAAAAAATATCAAAACGCATTTCCGATTGCACTTGCCGTAAAGATAGAAAATCTTAGAAAAAAGAACTATTCTATACATTTGGTCGAAAAATAAAATGTAACCAGTAATTTTTTGCCAAAAACTGCGTTTTCCGTCCATAGACAAGCCGCATTGTTACAATTGTATAGAAAAATGATCATATTTATTGCATTTCAGACGTCCCTTAAAATATACAAGATATTTACATCAAAATATTTGCACTATAAATTATAAATAGGAATTTTCTCATGATTTTTCTTTTCTCAACAGTTTTCGAATTCAAATCTATTTATTGTCCTTTTAGTACTGAAATTAGCAGAAAAAGACAAACTGTGAATCCGTTAACAAGCAACGATGTTTAACGAAATTATACTCTACACTAATGTACATAAGATCCAAAGTCGCTCGTCCAACTAACAATAGTTCAATCTCAGCCTGTCCTTTTCCCTCCAAAGGTTAGACAGTATGTCCTGCTCTTTCATACATCTCTATCAGTATCATCCGATTTCATTCACTTCTAATTCTTTCATACAGTTCATTCAATTCATACATTCTTCGGTCACCTCTCAATCTCATTACTCTTTCCTTTAAATCAAATCTCTTTAAAAAATACAAGCGAAACTTATCAATATATTTACATTAATTGTCTTGAACTTTTTGGTGTTTTTAGCTTAATATGACGCTATTTGTGAATTGCACTTAGGTATATATTTTAAAAATATTTCACAAACACCAAACCGATCACAAATTCAACACGGTGCTGTATGCTAAATTGAACTCCAGGGTCATCTCACACAATCTTAAACATTCGCATTTAAAAAATATTATAATACATTTTACAACAATTGACAGATATAAAAGATTTCGACGACCATAGACAATTGTTTTTTTCTTCAAAGGCAAAGAGTAATAGAAGTTTGACAGTTGCTTTCTCCACAGATAAAGAGTAATAGAAGTTAACAGATGTGAAAAATGGTTGATAATTGAAAGGACAATTGGTTTGTCGAAATCTTATATCTTTAAAATATTTAAGCCCGAACAGTAAATACTTCAGTCGTAGTCACAACACTAGCAAGCCGATCTAAATACTGACTGCTCCTTCAAATGTAAACCCGAACGCTATATTCATATTACAGCCATAAAATATATTGGTCTTAAACATTAAGCTATGTTTTCACTTAGCTTTATGACAATTTATCACAAATAGTAGTTCTATGTTATTTCAAAAATATTATTTATTTGAAACCTTACAAATAATGCGAGAAGCTTTGAAGATTTTTTTTAAATTTGTTAATGACCAAATAAGGTGTATTAAAAGCTGTACAAGCCAAGTGAAAACATCCAAAACATTGGTACAATATAAGCAAACTTGTGATGTCATCACACTCTGTGGTCGAATTCAATAGAAAACAGATATTGTCTTTGGCTGACAATGTATATTGTCTATGGATTTTAGAACATTTCAGTATTTAAATTGGTGTTACAAAAATGAAATAATTTCTAAATTCTATTGAATTCGACTATACAGGTAACCGATACACGATCAGCTGTCCAAGTAAAGCTATTACCCACAAACATAATGCCTGGTTCACTTAGCCAGTACAGTCGGACAGTAGCGATCAAGAACTGGACTGCCATATATATAGCAGTGTGAGATCTAACTGATGCCAGTTAACACACACAATGAGTTCTAAGCTGTACTGACTGTCCAACTGTACTGGCTAAGTGTGAACCAAGCGTAACAGAGCGTGGCGTAATTTGATTTGAATATATTCTGTGCTTGACCGTGTGTCAGCTAACTTTATACGTGTTCTAAGAGTGCACGGTCTGTGTGTCACGGCGCGTTAGGGGACGTGGCTCGGCCCACGCTGGGCGCGGCGCTGTCGCCTGGCTGGTGCACCAGACGGGGCGGGTCCCCGGGCGCAGCAGGCAGCCCTGCGCCAGCGGGCTCGGCGAGGGCGCGCTAGTCGGCGGGGCGCGGGGGCGCTGACCGCGGCGGGAGGGGAGACGCGGGAACGCTCCAGCTCTCACTCGTACCCCATCTAACACAAACCGATTATATTATAAAAATAAATTTTAAAGCTATCTTTATACATTCATGAAATAAAGCATTTTAATGTAAATAAACGGCCGAATGCTGAAACGAAATATTGCACAATAATAAAAGCAACTTCGTATCGTATTAAAATGTTGACTGACAGATTTAAGGTAACTATTAACGGAAACGGAAGTGTTCACATTCGTTTCATTATCGACCGTTAGTAACTAAACGACGAACGACAGTTAAAAATTTCACACAGATAAAGCAAAAGCTTTGTAAAGAAATAAAATAATGTACTCGATTTATTTTGATTTTTGTTAAATATACAGATATGATGTTCGAAATGATTATGAATCGAGAGTATTTAACAAATAAGCGCAAATAAAGCTCGGAGACATGCGCATTGCCGGATACAAATAACAATTAGAATTTTATTTTTAATTTTCAAATTAACATTAACAATAGCAAAAAAGTAAACATCAAATCGGCCTACGACAATATTCTTATATTTTAATTTAAATTGGATTTTGTTTACATATATCAAATAACGGTGCAAAAAACACTACTACTCACATTGTGTTTCAAACCTGTGTGTTTTAGCATCACACTTCCCCACGATATACATAGTTACCTAGCAGCTAGCATCAAGGTCGCTATCTTCAGTAGATAATTGAACACAACAGGGAGAATCCAGAATAGGAGTTCCAGAGGTCAAATACAATAGTTTGTATTAGTTGGTCGAGTACAAGATATATTTAGACAACTGTAAATTTCACAACTGCATTAGGTACTGTAGAAAAGCTCTGAACTGTACAGTATCACAACCAGACAAAAACTGGAGACCCTTAGACTAGGACAGGTCGAAAGAAGTCCCCTTTCC